CATTGCTCTTAGGTTGGAGGCCATTGCTCTTAGGTTGGAAGCCATTGCTCTTTGGTTGGAAGCCATTGCTCTTAGGTTGGAGGCCATTGCTCCTAGGTTGGAGGCCATTGCTCTTAGGTTGGAAGCCATTGTTGGAAGCCATTGCTCTTAGGTTGGAGGCCATTGCTCCTAGGTTGAAGGCCATTGCTCCTAGGTTGAAGGCCATTGCTCTTAGGTTGGAAGCCATTGCTCTTAGGTTGGAAGCGATTGCTCTTAAGGTTGGAAGCCATTGCTCTTAAGGTTGGAGGCCATTGCTCTAGAAAGCATCTCATTTCGCGCGAAGCCGCTCCGAGGAATGCTCGGCTGGGAGACCTCCACTTGTCCTGGCAGGAGGACCATCGGGTGCGATGACTCAGGTGACGAGTGGTTTCGAAGTTGTGGTCTTTACACCGGTTGCATAGAGACATGGACCTTTGGTTCACAGTTTAGGCCAGCATAGAGACATGACATTGTGACACACCTTCGTCAAGTATGAGATGCGGCAGATGGTCTGGGTCCTGGGTGGAACATGTGGTAAATCCATGGCCACCATGGCCCCTTCGGAACTTGCTGGGGGCTCCTGGCATCGCTACTAGGAGCAAGGACGCTACTAGGGGCGCTCCTGGCCTTACTACTAGGAACAAGAACGCTACTAGGAGCAAGGGCATCGCTACTAGTAACAGTCGGCATTTCTACTACTAGCATTCTTACTCTCTCCAACAGAATTGAAATTGACCGTAAATCTACGTCATGCTTTGCGTCGAAGAGGATCCCTGGTTGTTCCCTTGGGACTTTTAGCGCAGTTACGGGCATGAGGTGTGGCGGTAGATTTGTGCGTAACTGGAAGGTGGCCTGAGGTGAAAGGTTTCAGTTGCAAGTGGGGACACTAGATCCGAGTCAAAGCCGCTCAAGGCGCTGGAGGGGCAGATCAGCCGACTTCAGGAGGACTTTAGGCGGAAATCTCAGATATTCCAGGATACTTGACCGCGAATGACTTGGATTATATAGAACAACTTGTGTTAAGCAGCCACTTCTGGAGGACCTCCCTGGAGGTTTACAAGACTTCTCAAAGTTAGATGAGAGAACCATCCACTCGCAGAGACAACAAACGACATTCGAGCAATATCTTCAGTAACGATCACAATCTATCAGTTCTATGTAGATAATTTTGTAGTCTGTTTGCTGGTTCGTCTCTGCTTTGCGGCACCTCTTTAGGACACTGAGCTCTACAGATCATGCAAGTCAGGTGACGGCCTGGGGGCCCAGAATCGTCCTCTTGACGGAGCTCCAAAGACAAGAAATGCACTTTTGGGAAAGAATTGCTAATAGGTTGGAGGGCATCGCTAGTAATTGGGAGGCCATCGCTCTTAGGTTGGAGG